TACAGCATCAGCGAGCGGGACCGGCGGCACCGGCGGGAGGACAGCTACCACGTACGCTCCCGGAGGTGAGTGCCCGCCACCGCGGGGCCCGGCCCGGCTTCCCTGCGTGGAGCTGCCCCGTCCTTGCAGCCCGGGGCTGCCGTCATGGGGCAGGTCCTAGCCACTCTTCTCCTGCCCTAGTTACGACGACCACTCAGTGGACCGGCGCGCCTACGACCGGCGCTACTGTGACAGCTACCGGCGCAACGACTACAGCCGCGAGCGTGGAGAGGCCTACTACGACGCCGAGTACCGCCACTCCTACGAGTACCGGCGCTCCCGGGACCGCGAGGGCAGCTACCGGAGCTGCAAGAGCAGCCGGCGTAAGCACAGGCGGAGACGGCGCCGCAGCCGGTCCTTTAGTCGCTCCTCATCGGTGAGTACCCGACTGCACGCTGCCCCTTAACCTTTCTCTCCCAGGTGGCGAGCTGGGTAAGTAGCAAACTTCCTTCCTTACATGGTTTCTGAGTGCGCTTGAAATAACTAAACAACCTTGGTGCGGGCAGCAGCTCCTGGCCGCCCCTCGACATGCCAGAGCCGTGGCTGCCCGGTCCCTGGAGGACGCAGGCGGGTCCCGAGGTCTGTCGGGGGTAACCGCTGTCCGCAGGGGCTGCAGCCCCCAGCCTGCATCCCTGCCGCTGTTGTGCGCTGGTGTTGGTGTTACGGTACCGTAGGCTCTCCCGCGCGGGGCTCTGCCTTCCTTGCTACAGAGAGCTCAGTCCGGCTGTGGCCAAGAGCCTGGCCCCTGCCAGGCCACAGCTGTGCTTCTCTTTCGGGGCGGTCTGTGGCAGGAGGCCCAGCCCCCTGTGTCTGAGCTGGAGGCACAGTGCCTGGCTCCGGCCCCTGCTACGCGAGGGGGCTCTGGTCGAGTGAATCGGCCTGTGGAGCAGTCATTCAGATAGAGACAGCCATGCAGGCTCTTCCCAGCATAGTGTCTTGGCTTCCTTTTCTTGTCTGTTCTGCCACTTGCCTTCCACGTCCGTTAGGGCCAAGACGCATGATCTCTGCACCTGGGGCTCTCACCAATGCCTGCTGTGGCCTGGCTGTGCCTTGGGGCTGCTCCAGGTCAAGGGCTTTGTATTCGGGGTGGGGGTCAAGCCCCTGGGCTTCTGGCTGGTCCCTCTGAAGTGTGGGGTTTCCTAGCTGAAGAACCGTGGCAGGAACTCTTTCTTTTTTGGTGCAGTCTCTTGTCTGACTTGTCTTAGGCTTTTCCTCTTCCCCATTCCCCATCTCTCGGGGAGCTAGTCGCCAGGACCGGCTTCGTTGAGGGGGTGGAGGGTGGACTTGGAGGTATCCGATCGGCCTTGGGGCAGTTACTAGTGAGGTCTGTCTGGTTCTGGATGAAATGTTGTGTAGACACTTGCTTCTGAAGCCTCCTAGCTCTTCCTTCTCTATGGCATTGGGGGAAAGCCATGGCTTGGGCTGTTGGAATGGGGAGGGGGCCATGTGGGGGCGGCCTGGCCCTTTGTTTTGAAGGATTTTGTGGTGCGCCGCCTGCAGCTGCCCTTCCATGGCAGCTGATGCAAGGACGTGAGCCCCTCACTGCAGCCACTGAGCCTCGGCTGCAGAGCCGTGTCTCGGTGTGCTTTCCTGGCTTTAATGCAAACCTGAATGTCAGCACCGTTCCTATCCAAAGCCCCGGAAGAGCGAGAGCAGCCGGCTCCCTCCGGGGGCCCCCCCTTTCCCCCTGCTTGTCTTGGCTCTGGCGCTGGTTCGGGTGGGGCTATTTTGTAGGATTTTTTTTCTTTTTTTTTCTTAATCCTTTTTTTTTTTTTTTTTTTTTTTTTAAAAAAAAAAAAAAATTTTTTTTTTTTTTTAAAAAAAAAAAAAAATTTTTTTTTTTTTTTAAAAAAAAAAAAAAATTTTTTTTTTTTTTTTTTTTTGCTACAACGAAAAGCAAACTGTTTTTTTTTCTTTTCTGAGCTAGTGTGTTGTATCTTGACATGTTCCCTTGCAATATCCCTATCGTTATATATTCCTCTGTGCCGTATGAATTGGCTGGGAATCTCCTGCAACCCCTCCTCAAACAACCATGTGAATTTCCAAACCAACCAATGCGTGACGCCGGCTGCTGCGCTGGTTTGAAATCTGATTGGCTGGTGAATGATGAATTCCCTGTCTGCCCGGGCCAGCAGCGGAGTCGACCGAGCAGCAGAAGGGCCAAGAGTGTGGAAGATGACGACGAGGGGCATCTGATCTATCGCGTCGGCGACTGGCTACAAGAAAGATGTACAGCCGAATCGTAACATAATTTAGCTCTCTAGTTAAGCTCCCATCGCAGTCGCAGATCTGTCTTATCTTTGTTTCATTTTATTTTCATTGTTTATTAAAGAGAAGCCCTCTCTCCCCCTCCGCCCCCTTTTATTAAAGCTACATATATATTCTATACTGTTACTGCAGTGCCAGGGACGTAGGGCAGTTGCCTTGTGCAACCGGTCTTGGCCTTCCGCCCTGCCGGTCTCCAGCGTGCAGGCTAGGTGTTGCAATGCATTCTTCTCTGCCTTGTGTACGTGCCACAGCCAGGTCCCGCTCTCCACCTCATGGCCATTTCTCTCTCTCTCTCTCTCCCTCCCTCTCTCTCTCTCTCCCCTCCTGCCTCCCAGATGAGATCATTAGCACCCTAGGAGAAGGCACATTTGGCCGAGTGGTGCAGTGCGTGGATCACCGGAGGTAGGCGTGCTGCCAAGCTGGCAACACCACGCCAGGCTGCTGCCTTCCTGGGGGGAAGCACAGGTTCAGCAGCCTTGCTCATGTGGGGGCTGGAGTGTCAGGGCAATCAAGTCCCTTCTTATGCAGACTTGGTGTGCACTGATCTGATCCAGCCCTGTTCATGGTCCCCATGGAATGGGCTGGGATGGACCAGGGGGTAAAATCTGCTGTCTCAGCTGCTAGGGGTCACTGGGGCTCTAACATGTGGCCCCAGGATGGGTGGAGGTTGTGGTGTCCATGTCCCTCGGAGCCACGTGGGCCTCAGGCTCACAGTCCTGTTCCTGCCTCTCCCCAGGGGTGGTGCACGTGTTGCACTCAAAATCATAAAGAACGTGGAGAAGTACAAGGAGGCTGCGCGGCTGGAAATCAACGTGCTGGAGAAGATAAATGAGAAGGACCCAGAGAACAAGAAGTGAGTATTGTGTGTGGGAGTGTAGGAAGTCTGGGCTGTCCCTGTTCATTGACCTGGCTGAGGACAGGGTTGGCCTTGGGACAGCTTCTCGTAGGCACCTGGCTCTTCCGTGAGTTGTGCCGTGGATGGAGTGACAGCACAGTGAGAGCAGGGCAGGGGTGCGAGCGGCATGACTGCCCGTAACCCCAGCATCTTCTCTCAGCCTCTGCGTGCGGATGTTCGACTGGTTCGACTACCACGGCCACATGTGCATCTCTTTTGAGCTGCTGGGGCTCAGCACGTTCGACTTCCTGAAGGATAACAACTATCTGCCTTACCCCATCCACCAAGTGCGGCACATGGCCTTCCAGGTGTGCCAGGCAGTGAGATGTGAGTGTCGGTGCTGCCACCTTCGCGCTGAGCTGGCAATGTGCATGACAGAGTGTGAGCCCTGGCCTCAGCGGCTCAGTTCTGCAACTGATGGGCCATGGCAACCGGCTGCTGTCAGAAGGACTGCCCTGTGAATCCCAAGGCTGAACCATTCCTGCCCACCAGGGTTAGGGGAAAACCCACTGTCCCTTGCCTGGCTGCACAGGAGGTGTGGGCACAGGTCTGGGCATCTGCTTTCCATCTGTCCAGAGGCTCTGTGTGCTGAGCCTCCAGGACCCAGGCCCACCTGCCTTTTGGCTGGGGAAGAGCTGGGTAGTTTGCAGTGGTTGCTGAATGTGGTGTCAAACTGGAGATGGTATGGGTGGGTTAATGGATGGTTTAACCCTTAGGCTTGGCCGTGCAGCTATCACACCCCTGACTGATCCCCTTTCTTCCCCAGTTCTACATGACAATAAGCTCACCCATACAGACCTCAAACCTGAGAACATCCTCTTTGTGAGCTCTGACTATGAGCTCACCTACAACTTGGAAAAGGTAAAGGGGTAGCTTTGGGGGATCCTGGTGTCCCCAGCCCTGTGGGAGGTGGGAATGCTATGAAAACAGCATGCATGGCTGGGCAGGGCACTTGTGACGGTGCTGTAGGGAGCTCCTTGGGAGTGGTCTCCCCTGTCCCAGATGAGGTGGGATTCACGGGGTTCATGTGTCAGTTCAGGTTCTGGGCAGCTCGTGAACAGCCTGTACTTTGTTCTGTAGTCAAGCAGCAGGGCTTCAAGGGTCTTGGGGTCTGAGAGGAGCCTCATGGCTTGTTTTCTGGGCATAGTGGATGGGCAGGGCTAAAAGGTGGCTGTCAGTCCCACGCATCTACAAAGTATTGGCATCTGCGGTCCCTGCCTGGGCACTAGCTGCCTGAGGAACTGTGCTTGCGTGGTGAGACCGTGACGCCAGCATCTTGTTCTCCTGTCTTAGAAGCGGGATGAGCGGAGTGTGAAGAGCACAGCCATCAGGGTGGTGGATTTTGGCAGCGCCACGTTTGATCACGAGCACCACAGCACGATTGTCTCCACCCGGCACTACCGGGCCCCGGAGGTCATCCTAGGTAGGTCAGCAGCCTCGGCCCAGCCAGAGACCCTCAAGGGCTAGCACCCATGTCCAAAGGGCTCATCATACTAGATGCACATTGTAGCCCTGCCTGCTGGGTGTACGACAGTGGCCCCAGCTTCACACCTGGTGTTGTGGACTTTGCAGAGCCCATTGGGAAAACCACTTGACATCCAGTAGTCAATGTGCTGGTCCTAGAAAGGCAGCCAGGCTTGGAGCTCAGGGCTCTGCTTCCACAGCACAGTACCTGTTAGTGTGGACTGTGGGGTGGGAGTCTCTTTGGCAGCTGCGTTTTGCAGGGCTTGCATAGCCACTGCTTTTTCACTCTGGTGATAATCTCTCTATCTCTTAGAGCTCGGTTGGAGCCAGCCCTGTGATGTGTGGAGCATTGGCTGCATCATCTTTGAGTACTATGTGGGCTTCACCCTGTTCCAGGTGAGAACCACATCCTCTCTGTGCCCAGCAGCCTGGAGCTATAGGAGGCAGATGCTTGCATAAAGGGGGTGGAGTCTGCCATGTGCTTTTGCTTGGTGTGCAGGGCCAACCTGTTCTCTCTTCTAGACCCACGACAATCGGGAGCATCTAGCCATGATGGAAAGGATTCTGGGGCCAATTCCTTCTCGCATGATCCGGAAGACCAGGTGAGCAAGGCTGGCTGCTGTGGAACGGAGCCCCCCTCCCCTCCCAGGAAGTTGGGCCTGGGTAGACTCCTCTCAGCTGCAGGGCCCAGGGACTGCCGGGGAGGGTCATTTTTCTATCTGCACTGCTGCTTGGCCACAGTGGTTTGTAGCAGCGGGGAGGCAGGTGTCTGGGTGAGTCCCTGCTGGGGCATGGCTATGGCACCAGTACCCACGCCTTTCTGCTACTTTATCTTGGCAGGAAGCAAAAGTATTTCTACCATGGTCGCCTGGACTGGGATGAGAACACTTCTGCAGGCCGCTATGTCCGTGAGAACTGCAAACCACTGCGGGTAAGGCAAGAGAGCAGGATGGGCAGGAGCTCTGAGCTAGGGCACCCTTCTCCCCTGGAACGCTCTGTGCCTGCCATGGCTTACAAGAACCCAGGCTCTGCAACCAGCAGGGCTGTGACCGTAGTCTGCTGGGAACCACCAAGAGGCTTTGCTTATGTGGCTTCTTAGTGTGGCCTGGGACTTCCACTGGAGACTGAGGGCATAGTGGGAAAGGTGGCAAGAACTTGACCATCTGTCTGGGATGGGAGAGGGAAGAAAACCCGTGGGAGTTCTGGGATGGGGGAGCAGGCCCTAAATCATGCATACTCTTACTAAGGCACCCCAGCTATGACCCCAGGAAGTGAGAACATCCAGCTATGCTTGGGCAAGGTCCACGGGCCCTGGTGCCTGCCACCCTGACCCCTCCCTCCTTCCCCAGAGGTACCTGACCTCAGAGGCTGAGGACCACCACCGCCTCTTCGACCTCATCGAGAGCATGCTGGAGTACGAGCCATCCAAGCGCGTCACCCTGGCCGAGGCACTCAAGCACCCATTCTTCGACGTGCTGAAGATGGAGCTGAGCACAAAGGTGTGGGACTCTAGCCGAGACATCAGCCGGTGACACTGCTGACACCAGCGTGCCCTCAGGTTCTAGCCCCTGTGGAGGCCTGCGTGATTTGTATCAGACACTTGGTGCTTTTTTATACAAGAAAGACTCCTGGACCCTTTTGTTACTGTGTAAAGCTGTTAATATGTGAGATACTGTACATAGCCCATATTCTATATTAGCCTCCGAGCCGTGGGCCTGACTTGCTGCTGCTGCTGCCGCCGTTGCCCTAAAACATGGGGCCTGTATGTCCATGATGTAAATACTTTTCTTCACATGTTGCTTTGTCTCTGGTCCTCATCCCCTGCCCCCCAGAGTGTGAATACCCCGGGGCTCCTGGCTGCCTGTAGCTCTTCCTTTCCTTGTAAGTTATGAAGCTGGTGGGATTGCATGGGAATTATTTTTTGGATCGATGTCATAGCCCATCCCCACACCAGAGTTTTATAAGAATTTTGTACAGTCTTTGTGAAAATAAATATGAAGTGACTTAACCTTCCAGGGCATCTTCCCAATATGCATCCAGACTGGTGGGGCCTGGTTTGCCTGCCATCTCCCCATGGTCTGGCTTTGGCCTGTACTGCCCTGACAGCAGTCAGGGTGGGTGTCATTGGCCCCCTGCTTTGGTGACTTGTACCTCCAATCTTCTCCTCTTCCCTGTAGAGGGAGGGTCTGTTCCTGTGTTGTTACACTAGAAAGCAGGGGCCTTGCTGGCTGGCTTTGACCGAGCTGTTGCAATTCAGCAGCCAGGGTTGCTATGCGGGGGCTGGGGCTGGATCCAAGTTGAGCCCCAGGGGGGGCAGTCCCATGCCCAGGCTGCTTCCATGGCCAGCTCTGAGTAGGCCAAAGCCAAGGACAGCTAGAGTTCATCACCAGACTCCTCTCCTTTGTAAGTGCCCTCCTGCAAGCCTCCAGGCTCCATAGCCCTCTTGTTGGTAGGCCATGTTAGTAAGGCTGGGCCTTCATGTCTCTGCAGGGGCTAGCTCTGCCCCTAGCTCTCCCTGTCTTGGTACCCAGCAATCCAGGCTGAAGGGGGTCCAGGTCATCAGGAACCCTTGTGTAGGAAGTAGAGCACATGCTGGCTCTACTCTGGAGCAGCCTCTGCTTCTCACAATCAATGTTTGGTGGTCGGAAAGAGCCAAATGTGAAATGCAGCCGGGTCCTATGACTGGAAGGGCAGAGGCTATTTTAGGCCAAGGTCACTGTGGCAAACCTGGGCTTCAGTAAGTGCCATGGGCTCCTAATGTCCCTGCAAAGTGGAGTGAGTCCAAGCCCTCAGGCCTCGTGCTGTCCCCTGGATTTAGGGAGTGGCAGCACTGGTTGAGAGCGGTGGCTGCTGCAACATCCGAGTCTGGGTGCCGCCATAACTAATAATCCCTTGGCAGGCTCTTGTTACCCAAACACAAGGACACGCAGATTGCTCCCAGGGGAGCTGGCAGGGCCGTGGCTGATAGTGGAGTGTTCACAACAATTCTTGGCTCGTGTGCTGGAAAAGCCCTGGGGGGCTGAGGGGAGATGAGACAGATGCACGAGGAGCCATTATGTAGGGTGCTTATTGCTCTGCTGATGCACCATATGGCTATGGCAGACGGTCCTAGCCTAGCACCCTGTCATCACTTTGAGGGATAAAGGAAAGCCCAGCTTCAGCTGCAGTTAGTGGGGGCTGAGTTTGAGACCAGGGTGGGTGACATTGAGTTGTCTTTGTGTGCTTCTGATCCCAACTTAAAGAGCTTGGGCTGGGAGCTTTAATTTGTGTTCCTCAGCGCTGCTTCTTCAAAGCCGCTGTGGAGACAGACCAGGCAGCACCTAGGAGTGAGCCCAGCAGAACCAGAGGCTGCTGTGCTAGCTGTCAGCACCCGGAGGAGCGCAGGTGAGAGGCAGTTCTAACGTCTGCCCATTCCTGTCCCAGCTAGGGGCCCTGGAGTTGAAAGGATTCCTGCCCTTCACACCCTCCCCCATGTTCCCTGTACAGCCTGAAAGACCAAGGCCACAGCACTGCCCAGAACCTGACAGCTCTAGGGAGGTGAAGTGCTATCAGGCTGGTGCTCTTGTGGGGGAGTACAGCAGAGCTGCAGCCATGCACGCTCCCTGCAGCTCCTCTCCAGACCCTGGGGATTGGAGAATGCTCCGCAGCCTTGGGGCCAGTGCAAGTGCCGCCAGGTACTGAATTCACAGGCCCGTCCCTGGCCAGGCAGGTGGTTCTTGCGTGCCCTACGTAACTGGTTCCCAGAAAAATGAGCGAGTATCTTGGCACAGGGCATTCACTGAGCTCGCTGTTGTGTGGCTAACAACCAAGTATGAGGTGTTGGAGAACCAGGAGGTGCAAAGCCATCTGAATTCTGTCTTGCTGCAGATTCCTTGCTGACTAGCTTGGCTAGGTAAACCCTACAGTGGTGCCTCCCCATGCTCTAGGCTCGTGGCTGGGGGGTTGGGTCCTGGCACCCAAGTTCTGTTTCTGTTGCTTGGACAGCACTAGCTACTGTCACCGCTTCCTCTGCTCCGGCCTCTGCTCACAGCCTCCAGCCCGTTTTCCATTCATGGAGTCTGCGGTAAAATCGGCTTTCAGAGTCCCAGTGAAACAGCTTTTCTCCTGCATCTCTGCTGACCTCAAGGACAAGGATTTCCAGACCCAAGGAGGCTTCACAAAGGGCCCAGGAGAACACCACAACCCGAAGGCCCAGGAGAAGTAAGAGCCCTGCCGCTTCCAGCTCAGGGAGCTGTTGAGATTCTGGCCCAGCTGCTTGGTTTGTATCCCCAAGACTCACACACAGGGAGCCTGTTGTGATGGGTCTGTCTGTATGGAGCCATCTTCAGGCAGCTTAATTTCCTTCCTCTTGCTCCTGTTATGCCCAGGGTGAGCACAGAGTATGGCTGGGACCGGCAGGGGGTTGTGGGGCAGCTGGCCCAAGGGGTGGCACAGCCTTCTCTGGCCTAAGGTTCCTGCCCCCTGGTAAAGCCTGTCATTCCCCCTGCCCCAGGCAAGCCCTGAGCTGTAGCCTGCTGACGCTCTTCTTTCCAGTGCAGAAGCGAGCGGGACGCCTTCTACGCTCAGAAGAAAGCCGAGCGTGCAGCCATGAGGGCCCAGCTCCGGGAGAAATACCGGCTGCCCGAGGTGAGGGTCTTCCTGCTGGGGGGCAACTCAGCTGCTTTGTGGGCCGCTCAACCGGAGCAGGTTTGGGTTAGAGCCTGGGAGTGCTGCTGGAGACGGGCTCGGGGGCTGCAGAGGCTGGGCAGCCCTGCCCACGTGCCCTCACAGCTCTCGGCTCCGGGTCTGTCCCTGCTCCCTGGTTGCTCATTGCCGTGCACCGCAGCTCCAACTGGGAAGGGAGGAAATTTTTGCGCTAACAGTCCCAGTCACGCAGGGAGGGGGTGGGATCAGCTCCTGACATCCTGCACTAACCCCCGTCTCCTTCCCCTTCCTCCCCAGAACGAGGCAGACATGCAGCAGCTGCGGGCAGCTGGCGCAAAGGTGCCAGCGGGTCGGGCCCTCGCAGCACTGGTGAGGCCCTTTGCCGGGTTGGCAGCCCTGGACCCCGGCTCGTGGAAGAACGGAGGCGAGAGCCCAGCGCAGGCCCCACGGCTGTGCCGGCAGCGCCTGCTCGTGTGACCCAGGCCAGCGGCGGAGGCGGCTCCTGCCATGGGACAGGGCCCTGGTGCCTAGGGGCGCGGAGCCTACCCTGGGCCCCAGGGAACGGGCAGCTCGGCCCGCACCTGGTGTGACCAGGCCCCAGGCAAGCTCGGATCAGTGCCTTGCGCCGGGCCGTAGCCATTAAACCCTCGAGACGCCGCCGCCTCAGTGTGTGTCTGCTGGGGGCCCGGGGGGGGAGGACACGGGGCGGCCCCTCGACGGGCGCAGCGACAACAAAATGGCAGCGCAGGTTGGACCCCACCCCGGCTCTCTGGAGACCACAACTCCCGGCGTGGCCCGCGGCTGCGACCACGTGCCCGGCAAGCCCCGCCCCCCAGGGGTAGGCTCGGAGCGGGCGGGGCGCTGGCCCCTCCCAGCATGCAGCGCGGCGGACGTATCACGTGCACCCCATGGGGCGGGCTGGGGGGCGCATGCGCATGGCGGGGCCGCTGCGGGGGTTCCCCGGCGCGGTGGGCGGGGCTGGTGACGTCAGAGGCGTGGCAGCCAATAAGCGGCGGGCGGGGGGCAGCGGAGGCCTCTGGTTCTGTCCAGGCGGGGGGTCCCGGCGCTCTCGACATGGCCCAGCACGGGCTCGGCCCCTTCGGGGCGCCCAGCAACCCCTTCGAGGTGCGCCCGCGGCCCGGCCCGCTCCGGGCGGTGGGGGGGATCTGGGGGCGAGCTCGGGGCGGTGGCGCTCAGGGGCTGTGCGTTGGGGTGGTGGTGGGACCCCGGGGGCTGCGGTCGTCGGTGGGGTCTGCGGGGACCCCGGGAGTGGGCAGCCCCCGGGGCAGGGGGGGAGCAGGGAGGGCCCCGGAGCCGCGGCTGGCACGTGAGCGCGGTCGATGTCTTGTAGGATCCCGCCGTGGTGCAGCACGAGGGCAGCGCGGAGTATGCGACGCTGGACGTGTACAACCCCTTCGACACCCCGGGGGTGAGGAGCCTGGGGCAGCAGGGCTGCTGCGGGCCTTCAGCTGGGCTGTCGGCGTGGCGTCGAGGGGAGCAAGCAGCACCAGGCTCGTGCAGTTGTCAGGGCACGAGACCTGCTGCAGCTGCGGCACTTGGGCCTGTGCCTGGAGCGAGGGCTTGGGGACTCCCCTGGCCAGACAGGGCAATGCCTTAGGCCCCTGTCCCCACGCACTTGGGAACTGGCATCTCCAGTCTGTGCTCTCGGTTGCTCTGTCTCTTAACTGCTCCCTGCTGTCGCCCTGGCACTTGCCCTGCGCCACGAGCAATCTCGGTGACTGAAGGTGTTTCTCTGTCCGCTGCAGCCGCCCCCTCTCTACCAGCCACAGGCGGGCACTCAACCTCCTCCACCGGCTGCCAGCGTGCCTCAGCCGCCAGCCCCCGCTATGCAGCCCCCCAGGAAGCCAAGCCCCACAGAGCCCAAGAACTATGGTTCCTATGGCACTCAGGTAACGGGGCCAGGCCCGACCGCTGCCTGAGAGGGGTTGGTGCCCTTGGGTGGAGTCCAAGAAGGGAGTGTGGGAGCAGCTGGTGCTTGGGCCATGCAAACTGACCCCTCCTGCTGCTTCCACCATTAGGCGTCCACGGCGGCAGCCACAGCCGAGCTGCTGAAGAGGCAAGAGGAACTGAACCGGAAGGCAGAGGAGCTGGACAGGCGGGAGCGGGAGCTGCAAAATGCTGCTCTGGGAAGTGCTGCAAGTACGTGCTGGAGCTGCTCGTGGTGGGGGAAGGGCAAATGTCACCCTGCTGCTGGGGCCCAGCAGGCTCTGGCCTGCTCCTGCTCCGGTCTCACACCTTCCCTGTGGCTTGGCAGTGAAACAGAACAACTGGCCCCCGCTGCCCTCCTTCTGCCCCATGAAGCCCTGCTTCTACCAGGACATCCCAGTGGAAATCCCCATGGAGTTCCAGAAAACTGTCTCCACTATGTACTACCTCTGGATGGGTGAGCTGGGGTGGGCCCAGGGTGCAGAGACTATGCTGTGCTGGGGGCAGGGTGCAGACTGGGGCCAGGGCCTGGGCATATGCCTCCCTGTCCTTATAAGAATGGGGTGCTACTGTGGGGAGGGCTGGGCCCTGGTGTCCCACAACCCCTCACCTGCTGCCTTCCTCTCAGCCAGTGCCATTGCTCTCTTCCTGAACTTCGTGGCCTCCCTGGCTTGGTTCTGTGTGGAACCGACAGCTGGTTCTGACTTTGGTCTCTCCATCCTCTGGGCTCTCCTCTACACCCCTTGCTCCTTTGTGTGCTGGTACAGGCCAATGTACAAAGCCTTCAGGTATGTCGTACTGCAGCTCTGGGGCTTGGGAAGCAGTGGGCCAGGGCCCAGGGGCTGCTGTTTCATCCAGGTCCTTTGGAGATTGCAGACTTCCCTGCTGTTGGTTTTGGCTTTGATATCCCAGAAACCTCCATGGGTTTCCAAGGGCTTCTGGACTATAGGGACCTCCAGCTCAACTCAAGTGGGGGAAGTTGCAATGGTCTAGGCATAACTGACTCTGAAACCCATGCTTCCCTGAGCTTCCCCTGGATCCTGGGTTGCTGCCTCCGACCCCCTGCCCCCATCATGTACCCCAGTCCTTGGGTACAGGGCTGGCAGGAGTGCTCCCTGGAAACTGCTTGCTCAGGCTGTGGGTAACTGGACAGGACGCTTCCCTGTGGGTAAAGCCCCTGTAGCCAGACTTCCTGTCCTGTCAGCTGCTGCTTTGGGGCCCCATGCTGGGGGAAAGGAGGTGGTTCTTGTGGGCACCGCACCCTAACCTGAGCCTTCCCTTCCAGGAGCGACAGCTCGTTCAACTTCTTTGTCTTCTTCTTCATCTTCTTCATCCAAGACATTGTGTATGTCCTGCAGGCTGTTGGCATCCCACACTCAGGGTTCAGGTAGGGGGCACAGCTCCTCTCTCCCCAGCCCAGCCATGCTGCTCCCTGCCACATGTGCCTCGACTGGGGCTGGGCTATCCAGTTTCCCATGGCAGGCGTGGGGTTAGGCATCCAGCCTATGGAGCATGCTGTGCTGGAGCAGGTACCAGAAGCCTGTGTCTACAGGCGCTGGGGGGTGCAGGGAGCTTGTATTCCATGATGGCCTCTTCTTGCAGTGGCTGGATATTGAGTCTGACTGTGCTGAGGAAGAACTCTGCTGTGGCAGTGCTCACAATCCTGGTATCCCTGCTCTTCACGGCAGTGGCTGTGCTGGGTGTTATCATGCTGAAGAGGGTGAGTGTCTCCCCTGGCTGTGCCTAGGGCAGGCTCCCAGCTTGCCCGACTCCAGGGGCCTAGCTGAGCCTGCTGCACAATGGAGTCTCCTTGAGTTGGGTAGGTCCTGCTGCAGCCTAGGGCCTGTGGAACAGCTATGGGCAGCTGTGTGGGCCACAAGGCATTTGTGACACCGTCCTTTCTCTTAGATCCACTCCATATACCGTCGGACGGGCGCCAGTTTCCAGAAAGCACAAGAGGAGTTTGCTGCCGGGGTATTCTCGAACCAAGCAGTGCGCACAGCTGCAGCCAGTGCCGCAGCAGGGGCAGCGAGCAATGCCTTCCAGGCCAAGTAGTACTGGGCCAGCCCTGGCTCAGGCCTCACCTACAGGCTGCTCCCACGTGGGGAAACCATACTGCACTTTCATCGGTCCCTGTGTCTGCATCAGTTGGTTGGAGGCTGCCTCATCCCAGCTTGGAAACACTAATGCCTACTCCTGCTCCACCCCTTTCCTCCCAGGTCGAGGCCCTTCCCCTGACTGCATGCTCCATACCCAGAGGCTGAGTGCCCCTCTACATGTAGGAGCCGGCTTGTGGGTGTGGGCCTGTCTGCTTTCCTGGCTCCCTTTGGCCCCTGCCAACTGCTGAGGGTAGGAGGTGTGGGTGTCACCAGTGAGGGGGGACCTAATGCCACCTTTTGGTGCCCTGTAGGACCCTCCATGAAGCTCTTGTCCCAATCGCTGCCCAGGGGAAGGCTTGGTGACTGATGCAGCTGTTGTGATGCCCTGGGCCTGGCTGGGGAGGGGAGTCGCAGTGGACCACTGCCCTTCTGCAGGGTAGCCCTTATTAGGGAAGGGCAGTGGCAGGGCAGCTGCCTGGCTCCCTCCTGCTGCTGCCTGCCTGCTTGGTGCCTTCTCAAGCTCTCCAGAGCTGGTGCTGCTGCTCTGCATGTGAGGGGCTCCATGGGGTGCCCCGGTCCTTTCCCAGCAGCATGAGCAGGCTCTGAGCCTAACTGTGCCCACCTGCCCCTTCCCCTCAGGCACTACACTGCTTTCCCTGTCCCTCTCGGGCCAAGGAGCTGTTGTTTACTGGCTGCCTCCGCGCTGGCCCTTTGGGAGCTATGCCCGGCACCCCACACCCAGGGAGGGCCTGGGCTGCTTCCCCTGCCAGCATTCCTCCTATCCCCCACTTGCCTGCTTCGTGCCTCATGCCCCTCTCCCTGCTGTGTGCTCCAGGGGGTCATGCCCTGTGCCCCAGCCCTTGGGGCAGCCTGGGCTGCAGGTGCAGGGTGGGCTGGACATGGAGCCACTTGCCTTCCGGTGCCCTGAGGCTGCCCTCTGCCTTCCTGGGCCCCTTCACTGGAGCATCCTTCACGGCTGTAGTCCCCTGAGCCCTGCCTTCCCGTCTCATGTGCGGCTGTGCCCGGGCAGGGCCGGCTCTCGGGCCCGATGCGTGTCTCGCCGCGCCGCGCGGACCTTCGGTTTTTATTTAAGAGAATAAAGGATGGTGACTCTGCTCGCTGGCATGGGGCCTGGCCTCTGCTTCAGCTCGGGGGTCGCGTGTGGACGGGCTGCGGGGCCGGGCCCGGGGCTGCGGGGGGCGGCGGCGGCGGCGGCTCCTCTGCGCTGTGGCCCGGGCCAGCGGGTC